TAGTATTCCAGGATGAAGATTCCCCTTCGGCTGGTTTCTTTATCATAAAGTCCACCTTCGGCTGACATCCTTTAAAATCCACCTTCGGTTGGTCTCTTTGTAGTTGTAAGTTCGCCTTCGACCGGCGTTCCTTTCTTAGGAATCTACCTTCGGCATAGTATTCCTCGATGAAGATTCCCCTTCGGCTGGTCTCTTTATCCTGAAGTCCACCTTCGGCTGGCATCCTTTCAAATCCACCTTCGGCTGGTATCATTTGTTGAGAGTCCCCTTCGGATGGTCTCTTTGCAGTTGTAAGTTCGCCTTCGACCGGCGTTCTTTTCTTAGGAATCTACCTTCGGCATAGTATTCCTTGATGAATATTCCCCTTCGGTTGGTCTCTTTATCCTGAAGTCCACCTTCGGCTGGCATCCTTTAAAATCCACCTTCGGCTGGTATCATTTGTTGAGAGTCCCCTTCGGCTGGTCTCTTTGCAGTTGTAAGTTCGCCTTCGACCGACGTTCTTTTCTTAGGAATCTACCTTTGGCATAGTATTCCTCGATGAAGATTCCCCTTCGGCTGGTCTCTTTATCCTGAAGTCCACCTTCGGATGGCATCCCTTAAAATCCAGGTTCGGCTGGTATCTGTTAAAACCCCGCTTCGGCTGGTATCCTTTAAAACCCCGCTTTGGCTGGTATCTTTTGTTAAAATCCCGCTTCGGCTGGTATCTTTCAAAATCCCGCTTCGGCTGGTATCATTTGTTAAAATCCCGCTTCGGATGGTATATGTTAAAACCCCACTTCGGCTGGTATCTTTCAAAATCCATCTTCGGCTGGTATCTTTCAAAATCCCGCTTCGGCTGGTATCATTTGTTAAAATCCCGCTTCGGCTGGTATCTTTCAAAATCTCTCTTCAGCCGGTATCGTTTGTTAAAATCCCGCTTCAGCTGGTATCTTTCAAAATCACGCTCCGTCAGGTATCTTTCAAAACCCCGCTTCGGCTGGTATCCTTTAAAACCCCGCTTCGGCTGGTATCATTTGTTAAAATCCCGCTTTGGCTGGTATCTTTCAAAATCACGCTCCAGCAGGTATCTTTCAAAACTGCGCTTTGGCTGGTATCCTTTAAAACCCCGCTTCGGTTGGTATCTTTTGTTAAAATCCCACTTTGGCTGGTATCTTTCAAAACCCCGCTTCGGCTGGTATCATTTGTTAAAATCCATCTTCGGCTGGTATCTTCCAAAATCCCGCTTCGGCTGGTATCTTTCAAAATCAAACTTCGGCTGGTATCTTTCAAAATCCCGCTTCGGCTGGTATCATTTGTTAAAATCCCGCTTCGGCTGGTATCTGTTAAAACCCCGCTTCGGCTGGTATCTTTCAAAATCCCGCTTCGGCTGGTATCTTTCAAAATCCCGCTTCGGCTGGTATCATTTGTTAAAATCCTGCTTCGGCTGGTATCTGTTAAAACCCCGCTTCGACTGTTATCCTTTAAAACCCCGCTTCGGCTGGTATCTTTTGTTAAAATCCCGCTTCGGCTGATATCTTTCAAAATCCCGCTTCGGCTGGTATCATTTGTTAAAATCCCGCTTCGGCCGGTATCTTTCAAAATCACGCTCCGGCAGGTATCTTTCAAAACCCCGCTTCGGCTGGTATCATTTGTTAAAATCCATCGTCAACTGGTATCATTTGTCAGGAGTCCCATTTGTTTGGTCTCTTCCCTCAGTAAGTTCACCTTCGATTGGTGTTTTCTTTGTAAGAGCTTTCTTTGGTCTGTCTCTTTCATACGTATCCGATACCGACCACAGATATGTATTTTTGATGTCTCTTTCGTACGTATCCGATACCGACCACGGATATGTATTTTTGATATCTCTTTCTTACGAATCTGATACCGACCACGGATATGTATCTTTGATGTCTCTTTCGTACATATCCGATACCGACCACGAATATGTATCTTTGATGTCTCTTTCGTACGTATTTGATACCGACCACGGATATGTATCTTTGATATCTCTTTCGTACGTATCCGATACCGACCACGGATATGTATCTTCGATGTCTCTTTCGTACGTATCCGATACCGACCACAAATATGTATTTTTGATATCTATTTCTTACATATCCGATACCGACCACGGATATGTATCTTTGATATCTCTTTGTGCGTATCCGATACCGACCACAGATATGTATTTTTTGACATCTCTTTCTTACTTATCCGATACCGACCACGAATATGTATCTTTTCTATCTCTTTTGTGCATATCCAATATCGACCACGGATATGTATCTTTTCTATCTCTTTTGTGCGTATTCGATATCGACCACAAATATGTATCTTTTCTATCTCTTTTGGGCATATCCGATACCGACCATGAATATGTAGCTTTTCTATCTCCTTTTTACATATCCGATACCGACCCCGAATATGTGTCTCTAATACCTTTTTTTCGTATGTCTGCTACAGACTTCAAGCATATACCTTTTGATATCTTTCTTACAGGTGTTTGTTACTAAATCCAAACAAGAGTTCCTCGATAACCAAGTTATACTTCGGTGTGTCAAACTCTGGTTAAACATACATCTAACCCTGATAATCCTTTTTACCTAAAAAAAAATAATAATAAAAACAGAAAAATACAGAAAACCAAAGATATAATAATACCTGACTGGCTTCGGAGCGCAAATTTTCGGGTTCTTTTAGTATTTAATCTTCTTTACCTTAAAAGTTCGAAAGGATGGCGCCAATATCACCTTCAGGTCGAAGGCGATTAAATAGGGGCAGCTGTTGCACCCCAAAATTTTCCCTCATAATTTCTTTTATTTTGGCTTAGACTTTTGCATTCATCTGCATCTATTTCATTAGGTCACTAACATGGCATACATTTCATTCAATATAGCTCTGAGGTTCAAAGTTCAGTGGTTGTGCGATACTAGGATTTCACAGTGGTTAAGGTGCTCGTATCCAATAAAGGATGATTTCTTATTCAGGCAGTGAGTTGTGGAATTAGGGTTTTGGTTCATTCTCATTTTTGGACTTCTTCTCCCTCAAGCAACAAGGCGATTATCTTCTGATAAACAACACGTTACAGTTTTTTCTTGTCAAGAACTCAAGGGCGTGACTTAGCATACATGGTCTTTGAATCAAGACGTCTCCTCATATAAGTGTGCCTATCATTTGATCAGGCTTAATGACTTTGAAATGGCATTCATCCACTCTTCAATTAACCAATTCAGGTTTTGTTGAATCATGGTTCAGAGAATCATTGGTTGTGAAGCTCGGGTTTCCTTTTGGTTCGAGGTGTTTATCAAACAAGATTAATTCTTCTGGTACATTGAATTGTGAATTTAGGGTTTTGATGGATGGTTGTTGTGGACTTCTTCTTTATCAAGCTACGAGGTTATTCTCTTCATCTCAAAATCAAGTTGCAAGGTTTTATTTATTAAGTCTGAAGATTTGGGTTTATTTCCCTATGTCTATTGGAAGATCACGCTTTGTTTCATTTGGAAAACATTTTGAACATTATTCTATTCACGTCTCAAGTCGTCACTGTGCACCTAATACAAGTGGGTTAAGGTTTTTCATTTTGTGTGTGAGTTTGTTGATGTTCGTCAATGAGAAATGATTAGAGGATATCTTTCTAAGTTTCAAATTTTATCTTCTTCAAGGATCCCACAAAGACATTTTTTGACAAGACAAAGGACTTGTGGGGTTGAATTGAAAAGTATGAGGTCATGGCATAAGGAATGGTACCATAGATTCATGTTGATCAAGGCCATTTTTGTTCTCATCATCGTTAGTTTTTGCTCACAATACAAGTCAATGTGGATTAGTAGTTTTAAGGATATCTTGGTTATACTTCTTCCATATTTCCATCTTCGTTATCAGTTCCTCAAAACATTATATTTGTATGAGAATGAGCTTCAGTTTTGTTCAATAATTTGATTCAAGCAAAATTGGAAGATTCCAGTGAGATTTCGTGGATGAAAACCAAGTTAACTTTTGTGGACCAAATTATTCCATATTTCGTGATTTAGAGGTTATTTGGAAATTATTGGATATACTTGACATCTAAAGATATTTTAAGACTTGAGAAAGCATATGTGGAATCAAAGGATTCCTGCTAGTTCCGTGGTAGCAGATTCTTAGGTGAAGGTGCACGTTGAAGTTTTTTTTTTCATGTTTAAATATGCAACCATCCATTTGGGAGAAATTGAGTTGCTTACAGAGTGTTTTACTTCTTCTAAGAAAAAGAACAAGTCTTTGCCGAGAAAAATCAGCTGTATGCATCGTTCCCTTTATCAGGAACATACTCAGCTCTGTTGTTTCTATTTGCAGCCTCCGGCAATCTCTAAAGGAGATTCTCTCTAATCATTACCAGCAAATCTACATTTCTAGCTGTGATATTCTAACCTGTTTATCTGCTATTCTGTCATTTGAGTCATCATGGCCTTACAGAACATTGGTGTTGGCAACAGTGATGATGCCTTCTACAGGTATAAGATGCCTAGAATGATCATGAAAATTGAGGGCAGGGGTAATGGTATCAAGACAAACATTGTCAATATGGTTGATATTGCTAAAGCTTTAGCAAGGCCAACTGCTTACACAACTAAGTATTTTGGTTGTGAACTTGGTGCACAATTAAAATTCGATGAGAAAACTGGGACTTCTCATGTAAACGGGGCACATGATACCCCAAAACTTGTTGTTCTGCTCGAGAACTTCATTAAGAAATATGTCCAATGTTATGGTTATGGAAATCCTGAAACTGAGATCTTAATTACTAGGAATCAAAATGCTCAGCTGGTTGAAGGATTTCACACTCTTGGAAATTTAGAAGTACTAAATGGGGAGCAGAATGTAACTTGTATGTCCCAAGATTAGGGGTATTTTATTGATTCTTAAATTGTATCATTTTCTTTAGTTAAGGTTCTTACATTTCATGTGTTTAGAACATCAGAAGCCATAAGCATACAAGAAAAGTACAAAGAATAGCACATGACGAACCTATTCGTCTAATTCTAAATTCCATCACGATTTCGTTGTTTCAAATAATTTCCATGACTTTGTTTTGAGCTTTTCTTTCTCCCTATCCCAAGTCTTGCGCCAAGCTTCTTATGTATCAAGCAATCCTGAACATTTACACAACAAAAAGAAACAATTATTATCAATTCTCAACAAACTTCTCAACATAATTCTAAAAAAAAAACTAAACTCTAAACCAATTTCTAAGAGAACCAAAATTGCTTCCTAACCAATCTCCAACAGTCCTAACCAACTGTTTTAACCATAACAGAAAAACTAAGTTTCTCATTTTTATAACAGAATTTAAAACCTCTAACCATATCCTAACAAGTTCCTAACTCCTAGCAAACTTCTAACAGAACCTATAACCAATCCCTAACTGTTTTCTAACCGATAACAACTCATTTTAACCAATTCCATAACAAAATTTCATAACACAACCCCTAACAGCCCTGCAAATAGAACTAGTTGTTAACTAATTAACAACCGCCTAACCAATCCGTAACTAACTCATCCAACCACATAACAGAATATAATAGAAAAGAGAGGGAAGTAGACAAATGGAGAGAAAAAACTCAGATAGGAAGAGGATATCATTATTCATGATTCATTCAATACACAGAAAACTCAGAAAAAACTCATAAAAGGTCACAAGAACTCACCTCTCAAAAATGCTAACCATTCTTGATCTTCAACCTCTCTCCCCACCCTTAGGTTTCCTCGACCTCGCCTCTGCACCAATCGCATACCCTTACATTCAACTTCATCTTCGTACACCCTGACCTCCTCCAAGCTCCTCCAACAACATCAGGAATCTCCATCACCGCAACTTCAACCTTCAATCTTCTGCATATCATCACAGCCACTTCACACCACGATTCCCCTGCAGCTGAATATTCAACAATCATACTCAACGTGCAATGATAGATCATAATTTCTACCCTACAGAAGGTGTAGAAGAAGAGGAATTGGCGTAAAAGGAAGGGAAGCGTGATATTACCTGAAGATTGAAGCTTTAGGTTTATGTGTTCCTTATCAATGTCGAAGGGCCGCCAGAGTTACTCCGGGTTTCGTTAGTTTTCCCTACATTTTGTGGAATTGGAGAATGAATCGAAAATGAAAGGTATGGAGGCGAGGTTGTGACGGCCTGACCATTCACACGGCGACGCTGTAATAGAAAAATGAAGAAGACGAAGATCGATGGAGGTTGTGAGAAGAGAATCAGATATGGATGAGAGTTTAAGGTTGCAACCGAAACACCAGATCGAAGACAACGACGGAGAGGTAGATCGATTTTGAGATGGCGGCGCGAGCTCTGATTGAGACTAAATCGGAGGCGTTGGCTCCAATCGTAGAAGAAACTCCTTCACACGGCCACTGTTCCTCAAACCTAATCCCTCTTTCAATTTTTTTTTCTATTATTTATTATTTTTATTTTAATAAAGGGAATGATGCTGAAGTTTTTTTTGTTGCTAACATATAATTGAATCTGGGCTGAAGATAACATGGTTGAGCCCATGGTTTTTGTGATCCGGTTGGACACCCTTGGTAGCAAAAAGGCTTATGGTGGATTTGTTAGTATGGGCTTGGTGCAGTATTTGTTTTTTATCGCTATTCAACTCCCCGATATCTAGAGCACCTCCCTGACTTTTCTAAGATCTCATCAAGATTTTTGTTTCTAGTTTAATCTATTTTTTTCATAATTTTGATGATGATAATGATACAAAAAAGTAGAATATTTTATAATGTTTTTTTTAGATTCTCTTTATAATTTTATTAGATTTTTCTATTATTTCATGTTAATAATCATTTCCGTTGTCATTTTTAGTTAAGATTTTGTGGTAGAATATTGATGCAACTTTCACGATGTTGAATGCTTGGAGGTTAATTCTTCAATCACTCGTTCAAGGAAACTTTGGTAGAATTTTCTTACTGCTTGCACAGTTTCGAAGAGGCAACGAACCTCCTCCGTTCGGTATCGTCACAACCCTATTTTATTCTTCATTTCCGTACTTTATCGCAATCCATGTGCATACTAACATTAGGTAGAATCACTCAAAATTCTAACTTTAGGTCTAACGACGCATAATGACATTAGGTTTAGAAGTAAGCTAGTCTCCTTTTGACTTTTCTTTCGCCTTCTGCATTCGCACTAAAACAAAAACTTCTTTTTCTTTTTAAAATTCAAAGCACTTTAAAAAACTATTGATGAGAATCATGATTTTGCTTAGTATGGGAAATGATAAGCGGGTATCTTCTCGATCTTATTGTTCTTCATCTCAAGCCTAGGTGTGGTTCAATTCTCAAAGACTCCTTTCATAGCTAAGTAGAAAAGTGGCTAAAATCTCTCCCTTGAGATCAACTAGTTGTTGTCTATAAGCAAAAATATCAACAAACACAAAGATCGTCTTGCCTTCGGGCCTTCCTTTCTTTCAAAACTCTTTTTCAGAAAGAATATGTTAATTCACTTTTGTGCTGACGCGTAAATCTCCAAAGGTCGAGTTTCGGCAGAAGGCGAAATTAATGTTGTTCGTCAAAAACATAAACAAATTCAAACTTTTATGCGCCGAGGAACATTTTCTCCAAACTCTTTTAGAAAGAATATGTTAATTCACTTCTGTGCTGACGCGTAAGTCTCCGAAGGTCGAGTTGCGGCAGAAGGCGAAATTAATATTGTTCATTAAAAAAAATACAAACTTAACAAAGACATAAGCCGAACTACGGCTGCTCTGATTCCTTAAAAGGGATACGTAGGCATCGGGGTAGGGCCCGAACGAGCACAATTTTATTTTCCCTACATTCTTTCCCCCCTTATTTTGCATGCATTCTCCCTTTAGCAGTAATAAACAGTAAGCGTAGATTAAACACACCCATAAGATAGACAACAAGAGTGGATACCGTAGAGTACTACGAGCGTGTTGGGTGCTAATACCTTCCCCTCGCGTAACAGACTCCCTTACCCTTATCTCTTGGTCGTTCGACCTCGATTTCTACCTTTTCAGGTTTTCTCGATATTTACCTTTCCCTACCTGTGGGATAAAAGACGTTCGATGGCGACTTCATTGTTTTGATGATTTTCAGTCGGTTGTTTCAATATTCAATGAAATATGATTAACATTCAAAAATATGAACAAGTTTGTATACAATAAAGTACTAAACAAAACAATTAAGATTGCAAATGAGAATGCAAATGAAATTTTAAATTTCCATGTTAAGGAGACTTGACTCCGTAGGACTGATTGCTTTAAACGATCTTCAGCAACATTGAGGCTTATTTGGATAAGAGGCTCCCCATTTGATCTGGACACAACAACCTCTGAATTGATCCAAGCCTGGAATTTATCTCTGGATGACAAACCATCTTCAACTTGAATAGTCGAGTTCCCCAGAGTAATGTTCACTAAAGATTCTACCAAAAGAGAGAGTGAATGCTATACCAAGCGAAAAGTTCAAAACTGCTCGTCACTTTAGAAATTGGACTTTGAGAGAGACGCCAGGTAGGATCTGGACTTTACTTAAACCATCTTGCAATTTTCAACATCATGACCAAATGCCCCAGAATGGGAGACACACTTAGCATTTCCATTAGGAGAGAGATTAATCAACTGAAAAGTTTCCAAAGCATGAAGTTTGAACAAATGAATTACCAACAGACAAGGAAGTGCCTGGATGTAAGGCATTGAGATGGTATCAACATACGTCTCATGCTTCTTCTATCCCTTCTTAAAAGCTTTTCCCCATGGATTCACTTGGCGGAACAAACACTGACTGCTAACGAGAAGATCAGGGAGCTCAAAGTTGTGGAGAGTGCCCCTGACTGAATAATCAGACACCCTGGCATGGTAATCACATATGGCGTTGACAACAGGATTTGGAAGGGGATTTGTAGACGGTACTGAAGTACGGATCCTAACCCACTGAATCTCAAACAAGCGTGGAAACAAATGTGAATAAAGCACTGAGATGAGATCAAAACCATTCTTCAAGCTTCTATTCTGCCCTTACTGATAAAAGATATCCTCTTGAATTCCACTGGGGAATGAGAACCATCTGCTGATAAAACATTCCAAGTACTCAAGATAATAGATGAGACCCATAAGGCACTCCATGGTTTGAAAGAGATCCCAAAAGATGAGGGGAAGATAATAACTCATGTTGCAACAGTCAGTGTAGGATTGCTAATACTATCATCAAAGCTTCCAAGTCCTATTCCATTGAGTCTTCAACTGACTATCTTCCTTCTCGAAGAGTTCCTGATCACGGGCCAAAGCTTACATGTTTACCAAACAACTCCATTTGAATCTTCATATCGGCCAATACCCCACGAAGTTGTTCCATAACTGATCTCTGAACATGTGACAACAAGAATTCAAATCTATAACCCTGGAGAGAATACCAGTTCTGAATATGAACCTCCCGCTCTAAGTACTTGTTATGAATGCATGAATATGCATGAGGTGTATGAGTGGATGCAATGCCATGTTCGATCATTTCCAAGGAACCCACGTGCTTTTAATTTTGATTTTAAACTAGTAAGAGGTGGAGAAGCGCAACACAAAGCTCACAAGCATGGTTCCTTGAAAATGGAAAGAACATGTGTGTTAAAATGGTGTTAATAGATTATGTGTGATAACATAGGATCAAGGTTCCATAAACATGGAAAAATGGTTGCATTGTCCCTAAACTTCATGATGAACATCACCAGATCAAAGGTACGACGCCTCCTTGGAACACAAAAGAACCAAGTACCAAGTGGATCTGCAACTGCATGAGCCTAAAATCTCCCTATCATAAAAGATAACTGCTGAAATGTCGAAATACATGATAACACAATTTTATATAGTATATTTGATTTAATTTTCATAAATAATGTTAGTATTTTTATTTAATTATTTCATTTTATTTCCATATTACGCCGGTATTTTTATTGTTTCAGATATTTTATTTTAATTAGACAAATTGAGCAAAGTGAAGAAATTAAGAGAGTTATTGGACTAAATATGCAAGAAATGAAGAAAAGGGGTGTGCAAAGCAAAAATGATGGATCAAAAGGTTTATTATCTCCAAACTGGGCCTAAACGAAATCAGGCCCACGCAAGCAAGAGAGCCCTAAAGGCACGTGCAAGAGTGAGACGCACGTCTCAACTCCTCTCCTACAATTGAGGCGCCCGCCTCGGACCCTCCCCTTAGTGGGAGGCGTCCGTCTCAACTGCCACGTAGGCCCTAGGATGATACATGAGGCGCCCGTCTCAACGTGGTCAAGTGGATGAGTAAATCTCGGGACGACCACCTCCACTCAAAGCAGTTAGAACGAGAAATTTGGGGAAAAGTGGTACGAAAATATCTCAAAACGTGGTTACATTCTACCACTATAAAAGGACATCAGGAAATCAAAATCGGGGGCCGTTTTTTAGCATTTTTTTTCCAGTTTCAGAATTTACCTTCCCGCATTATTATTTTCCATTGTAATTCAGTTTCCAGCAGTTATTTTCCAGCCAGTTCCTTTTCAAATACTTAAATTCTATTTCTGTTGAAGAACCGGGATTTTGTACGAATTGATTCAAGCTTCAAGAATTATTTCCAGCATTTATTTAATTCAGGTTTCTTATTTACATCGCTTTAATTTATTTAATTAATTATTTTCATGAGAGATATTTATTTAGCCATGAATTTATTTACGAATGTTAATTCCTTTAATGTATTCATGTCTGCTTTTATGAGTATGTCTGGCTAAATTATTTAAATATCGGTATGTAACGAGTTAATTTGAATGGATCCGGAACAAACAAGCTTGATTATATTTTATAAAATAAACACTTTTTCTGATTTAGTTATCTAATTTATTTTGTTAAAAAAAGGTTTAGAAACCAACAGAGCGAAAGTTTGAGGCTAATAAACTGACTAAGAT